GCAATGTTTATATGAGGCCTGCGCCCAAATTTGGACCAATACCGACAATCTTCCAAAATTTCTTTTCCAACCTCCGAGAACTCGGAATAGAAAACTAGGATAAAACCCTAAAAATACCAAGAAAAGCAGGGGTTACAAGAAATCCAAGCCAAATTTTTATAAAAAAATAATGTAAAACCCGATTCTAAACTTATTTTTATACCCTCCACCATAGTATGGAGAGTATATTAATTTTGTCATTCCGTTTGTAACTCATCGAAATATTAATTTCCGACCTTATAAAATTCTTGATCAGGGTAAAATTCTAAGACGATCTAGCCATGTCCGTCCGTCCGTCTGTTGTAATCACGCCATCTTCTAAAGGAATTGTGATAGGGGGCTGAAATTTTGCATAGGGTTGTCTTTTGTTTGCAGGCAGGCCAAGTTCGAAGATGGGATATATCGGTCCACGTTTAGGCATAGCTCCCATATAAGGGTACCCGCCAAATTTCTGTATTTTGGGATTCTTGAGCGCGTTTTTCAGCCCAATTCCCTGAAATTTGCTATATTGGGTTCCTATTGGTTACCAAATCTCTCCACTAAAATTATGGATATGGGTCCACTTTTTCTGGTACCCCCCATATAACAGTACCTCCTAATTTTCTGTATTTTGAGGGTTTTGGTCGTATTTTTCCACCGTATTTTGAGTTCTTAATAGGTATCAAATCTCTCCACAAAAAAGTATGAATATAGGTCAATTTTTTGGGGCAGCCCCCATATAAGGGTACCCCCCAATTTTCGGTATTTTGGGGTTCATCAGCGCGTTTTTCAGCCGAATTGGCTGAAATTTGATAGATTGGGTACTAAATGTATCCATAAAAAATTATAAGTATAGGCCCACATTTTCTGGTAGCCCCCATATAACGGTATATTTTGGATATTTTGGGGTTCTTGAGCGCGTTTTTCAACAGAATTCGCTGGTAACAAATCTCCCTATCAAAAATTATGAATATTCGCCCCCATTTTGGGGTCGTCCTCACCTAACCCCCTTTTTATACCCTTCACCACACTGTGGTACAGGGTATTATGTCTTTGTGCATATGTTTGTAACAGGCAAAAGGAAACGATATAGACACATGGTTCCTTTTGAGAATATGCATAGAATCAATTTCTAAGTCGATTTATGCATGTCCGTCCGTCCGTCTGTCTGTCCATGTTAAATTGTAAACAAAGTACAGGTCGCATTTATGATCCGAATTGGATGAAATTTGGCATAGGTCACTCATTCGGCCCAAGGACGAACCCTATTGAAATTGGGAAAAATCGGCCCAGATTTAGATATAGCTCCCATATATATATTTAACCGATTTAATGTGAACGGTCCCTATATATCTTTCGATTTGCACGAAATTAGGCACAGCCTAATCATTTAGGTCTAGAATGATGTCTGCCAAGTTTCGTGAAAATCGGTCCAGATTTAGATAAAGCTCCCATATATAGTTTCGTCCGATTTCATGTAAATGGTGCACCAAAGTCCCTATATATCCTTCGATTTGCACGAAATTTGGCATAACGTACTCAATTGAGCCTAGAGTGATGTCTGCCAAGTTTCGAGAAAATCGGTCCAGATTTAGATATAGCTCCCATATATAGTTTCGTCCGATTTCATGTAAATGGTGCCCCAAAGTCCCTACATATCTTTCGATTTGCACGAAATTTGGCATAACGTACTCAATTGAGCCTAGAGTGATGTCTGCCAAGTTTCGTGAGAAGCGGTCCTGATTTAGATATAACCCCTATATATAGATTCGTCCGATTTCATATAAATGGTGCACCAAAGTCCCTATTTATCCTTCGATTTGCACGAAGTTTGGCATAGCGTACTGAATTGAGCCTAGAGTGTTGTCTGCCAAGTTTCGAGAAAATCTGTCCAGATTTCTATATAGCTCCCATACATAGTTTCGTCCGATTTCGTGTAAATGGTGCACCAAAGTCGCTCTATATCTTTCCATTTGCACGAAATTGGGCATAACGTACTGAATTGAGCCTAGAGTGATGTCTGCCTTGTTTCGTAAAAATCGGTCAATGTTTAGATATAGCTCCCTTTTATTATAAAGTGATTTTAAGTAATTGATGCACCAAGGAACCAATAGGCTGATAGGAACAAACAATTCTGAAATTAGTATAACCTAACCTGTGACAAGTTTGTCTGAAATCACTTAATATTTCGATAGAGCTTCCATATATATTTTCGCCCGATTTCAAGTAAATAGGGCATCAAACTCCTCATGTTAATCAGATTGACATCAAATGTTGCACAACTTACAAAATCGAGCATAGAATTACGTAGTTGCGTTTTGTAGAAGTACAGACATAGCCCAACGGATGACCTATTTATATTTGTTTGAAGTCGATTTACATACTTTATGAATAGATCTAGGTAGATTCACATTTAGATAAATATCACATATATTATTTCATCCAATTTCATGTTAATAGTCCTGTTTAATATACCCATAGTGGTGAAGGGTATCATATAGTCGGCCCCGTCCGACTTTACTACTTTCCTTACTGGTTCATATTAAAATAGTTATCTGATTTGTTCCGCGTTTTGGGTTTGGTTCTAAGACTCTGTTGTAATCATTTCACCTGCGGAGGATAGAACGTAAGGTTCGATAATGTACTATATATGAACTATAGCCCGGATTTAGGCCTAGACCTATCCCCTGTGTGGGACGTACCAGAAGGAGTGGATCGATATTTCCCATCTTCCAACTTGAACAAAGTTTGTAATAAATAATAATATAGGCAAAGTTTGGATGAAATCGAAATTTTCTGAAATGGATTTGGTCCAAAAAACGTGGGGTCTAGAACCAATATTTTGACGAGGCACATTTTCCCTGTATCAAAGTGTATACACCCTCATTAGCCATAAGGCTGAGTGTAAAAAAAATTCATTAAAAATTGCTGAAATTATGGTTTATATAATCAGTTTGTAGAAAGGTCACTTTTTGGTATGTTCCCTTTATTTTCATTTCATGTACCTGACAGTATATCTATGGTGGAGGGTATCCAAGGTTCGGCCCGGCCGAACTTAACGTTTTTTCACTTGTTATAATTAATTGTTCTTTCGGCAATAACAGTCAAAGTATATATCACGAACACTGTAATATGTTTAAATCGTATGAAATCTGCAGCATAGTGTTAATCAATAACATCAAATTTTAACTTGTTATATTTATTGCATACTTTAGGGGATCATTAATAATGCACCGAAAAGTATACAAAATTATCATCATTTATTATTGGTATACAATTTCTAAATTTTACGTTGATATTGAAGTATGTCATTTTAAGCAAGTCAAATGCATGAATGGTATAGGAAATGAGATATTGTTAGCTAAAATGCAAAAAGGCGTAACTAACAAAAGCATAATTGTGTAGGAGAAGTAAAAAACTGTTTTGAATGAAAACTATAAACCTGTCAAAAAAGTATGCCCGGCAGGGTGATATTGCATATGACGAATAATAGACTATAATTTTTTCAACAAATTTAGTTATTTAGTTTAATGGCATTCATAACAATTAAGTAAAAATTTGAATTTTTTGTTAGTTACGCCTTTTTATTTTTTGTTAATAGAAGCTCCTTTTTTGACCGCAGGACGTGTAAAACTTTGTCAACACATGTAGTTTATTGACATTCACAATATTCATTCAAAAAGTCAATTTTCAAGTTTTTGTTAGTTACGCCTTTTAGCATTGTAGCTAACGATATATCGGTCCATGTTTCGGTATAGACTTTATATAACGGTACCCCCGGTACCCTTGGAATTTTGTCTCGTTTTTCATTCGTGTGCTTTAGTGTGGTGTGATCACTTTTATTGGTCCATGTTTTGGTATTGCACCCAGATATCGCTACCTTCCAAATGTCGGTATTTTTGGCACGTTTTTTCTACCAAATTTAGCTATAATTTAATATTTTGAATTGCAATGGGATAACAAATCCTCGAACCAAAAACTATAAATATTGATCCAGTTTTTAGGGGTTCCCCCAATAAAAAAACACCTCCCAAATTGAAAATGAATTTATATACCTCATTTTTATTGGGTGTCAAATCTTCGTGCCCATATTATTCGATCTCCGCATTGTGAGCCCAATTTTCCAACCTGAGAGTATGTAGTTTGATATTTCGTTTTCTCCTGGCAGAAATTTACCGATTTTAGGTGTTTTGAATGTGCACCTCATGGTATAGGGTATAAAAAATTAGGCTCGGCCGGATCTTCCCATGTGTTTACTTATTCTTTTGTAATTAACGCACACTTGTACAAATTTCATTGTTTTTTTATTACATACAAATATTACAAAAATATTAATTTCTTTATTAAATGCTAAAAAATTTACAAAATGCAAATATTCTTACAAAGTGAGTTACAAGAACAAAAAGTAATCGTAAAAAAATTAAATCGTAAAAACTTAAATATTAAAATTGCATGAGAAAATGTCGAATAGATGAAGACACTGACTTAAAATAAACCATATGAGGTCCATAGTCTGGGCATGATACGTTGTGACATAAATTGACGGAAGGGATTGATGCGTACATTCTTCAAAATGCAATTTTCTGGCAACTCAACCTGGAAGACATTGGAATATGGGGATGAATAAAAACATTACGAAATCTATGCGAAAAGAAAAAGGCTGCTGAAGCGGCAAATAAATTTGGCAGAGGCAGTGGCTGGCATTTCCTGGAATCAATCCACTAAATTATGGAATGGTATACTCAAGCATTTCAATGATGATAGCGATGCTCTTGCATTTGCTTGTAATGTATGCGTATAAGCCATTGTGGCCAATAATAACTTACAGATTGAGAGCTGGTCACTTTGATGGGATCACGGCCCGGGCAAATAATAAACGATTCATGACCGGCCAAGAGGGGGGCGTTTATTAGTTTGGCTTTCGGTACGACTGGTAGTGGAGGTGGTGGCGGAGGTGATTGTAGAACTGGTGATGTGAATATTGGACTAGGACGTGAAATGGTCTGGAAAGTGGGTAACTTGGGAGTTTTGGATATATGACCGCCATATTCAATGGAATTGGAAGTTAAATGATTTTGCGATGAAACACCAGCAGCTAAAATAGAAATAAATATTCAAAATTTAATAATAGTTTTGAAAAACCTTAAGAATTTTCAAAATGCTTACCGTTAACGCGTATCTTAAATTCACATCTGGCCGTGAGTCCATCTTCATTGGTTGCCTCATAGTAGACGCTATGAACACCCACATTAAACAGTTCACCAGGAAGCTGGAAAATATATGGAAATTCGAATTAGTGGCATTTTTAAATTTAAATAAGTTTTTCATTCCTGCTTGAATGTGAATTTTCTAAAGAATATATCGGTGCTATGAACGCGAAGTTTTCTGTCCTTTGTTGTTCTCTCTATAAGGATGGATTAAAAAAAATAATTTCCTAATCCAGTTATGCTTTTCAAAAATATTTCTCATAGATCATTTATTTAAAAACAAATGTTGGCTCCCCTATATGAGCGTGTTCCCTGTTAAAAGCGGGACATGATTTTACTGCTGCTATGATTTATAATTTATTTTTCCTTTCTGTGAAAAATATTTCTTTTTTTGTCCAAACTATGATCGAAGGCTTTTTAAAAGTATTTTCGATCCCTAAAATGCATGTCGATTTTTTTAATTTTCCCCGATTCCGAAAATAATTTAAAGAAAATCTTTTGTCCATGCTATTAATATAGCATCACTATACTAATTGTTTGGCCCTCTCTATGTGGGCGGACTTTAAAAAAAGTTTTGTCCCAGTTAAGATCATAAATTTTGTTTTAATGTTTGTTGAGCGTGTTTTTTTTAATCACTTTTGTCGGTTCCTTCTTTAATTCTGGATTTTAAAATAATTATTTTTCCTATTATGAACGTTGATTTTTTACTTTTACCATTTTTAACAACTAATTAAACTGAGGCTTTCTATTGCCGTAAAGTATAAATTTTGTAAAAAAAAACTTACCCTAGATTTATACAACTTCTTAATGGGTCCATATTTGTTACTAAATCTCGGTTCCTCCCAGACAACGGAACGGAATATTTGATTCTCGCCCAAGGAAACTTCAAATGATGGTGTACAATATTCTACCACAGGTCCTTCGGCATGTTTAACATGGATAACTGTCTTACAGCGTGCCTTCTTTCCGGTGATAGGGTCGTGACCACGGAATATTACTACATAGGTACCAGGACCCAAATGGGCCTGTAAATCTCTTGTCCATGCTGGTGATGATTCGATATAACGATAATCTAAATTGGTGATCGGCTTCTGTAGAATGACATGAGTTGTACGCTCTGAGGGGCCCAAGTACACAGTAGTATTGCGGGGACATTTAATATAAGGTCGTTGTACACCACCAACGCCACCACTACCACCATAAGGTGTCACCTTAAAACCAAAATCAGGCAAAGGACGTCCATTGAAGGTTGATTGTGTGCTGTGCACTGTTGTGGCCGTTGTAAAGGTGGGTGGTGCATTTGGCAGCGCCAAAGGTGTGAAACCATTTGAGACACCCAGACGTGGCTCAGTTTGCATTGGCAAACAGTCAAATGTGCCATTATACGACCATTGCAGCTGAGATGTGCAGACAGCTACTGATGCTCCAACTGGCACATGGCCAGCATTACATTTCAGATGGCATTGCTCACCCACACCACTTTGGCCCAGTAGACAGGATAATGGTGTAATGACACCGCTTAGAGGTGTGGCAAGGGGTGGACATGTTTTAGCTGGAATTGAGTGAAATAAAAAAAGGACATCAAGTGACAGCAATCAAATCTTACGATTGATTACGAGGAATACTTACGCAGACATAAATTATCATGTTGATCCCATTGGCCACTGGCATTGCAGTAACGATGTGTGGGGCCTTGCAAAACATAACCGGGATTACACCAGACCTTGCAACGTGTTTGGTAGAAACGTTTCTTCTTGTGGCGATATTTGGTGCAATGTATGGCACCATTTGGTGGTGCTGACAAGGGATGGCATTGATCACGTAATTCCTGTATCACTTCGCAGGTCTTGCGATCCGCAGCCAAACGTTGGCCCAAGGGACAGCGACATTCGTAACCACCTTTGTGATTAATACATTCCCCACCCACACAACCACCATTATCGATGGCACATTCATCTATATCCTGACAATCGCGACCATTTTCTAAACGATAACCCTTGGGGCACAAACACTCATACGAACCATTTGTATTGCGGCATTGATATTGGCATACACCCGGTAGAGAACATTCATCGATATCTTCGCACTGGTTAGGGTCATCGCGGCTAAATGTAAAACCGGCAGGGCATGTATTGGGACAGGCATCGAAAGGATTGGCTGGCTTGGAACCATCTGGGCACACGCATTCATACGAACCCGGCAAGTTCACACATTTGAAGGCACAGCCACCATTATCGGCCGAACACTCATCGACATCTTCACAGGTCCTGCCATCCAAACCCAAAATCATACCCGATGGACAGGAGCAACCTTGATCGGGATCACAGTTGTGTGAACAGCCACCATTGTTCTCAAGACACATAGAATTAATACAAGTCTTCTCGTCGCTGGACAAAGTGAAGCCATCTGGACAGGCACACAAATAGGATCCCATGGTGTTGTAGCAGTCGTGACTGCAGCCATGATCTTCGGCAATGCATTCATTCAAATCGACACAGACCGATTGATGCTCACCCAAATAATAACCCTGGGGACAGGAGCACTTATAGCCTCCATCCACATTGAGACAATCGTGTGAGCAATCATGTTTGCCCAAGGCACACTCATCAATATCCAAGCAGGTCCTCTCATCGTCGGCCAATTGGAAGCCGGCCTCACACGAACAGGCATACGAACCTAAAAGATTTATACAAATGAAACTACAATTCGCCACACCATCGATGCACTCATCGATGTCCAGGCAAGCATGACCATTGGATGAAAGGGTGAAGCCTTCGCGGCATGAACATGAATAGCTGCCGATATTATTTTGGCAAATGTGTTCGCAGCCTCCATTCGATATGAAGCACTCATCATTGTCCAGGCAGGTGCGCCCATTCGAGTCCAAATGGAATCCTACGGGACAGGAACATTCCACCTGACCATTGCGTGTGTTGCAGGCATGGGAACAACCACCGTTATCTCGTAAGCAATGATCGACCAGTATACAGGTCTTATTGTCAGCCGATGATAGCAAATGACCGGGAGGACATGAACACTCGTAATACCCGGGGAGGTTCATACAAAAATGACTACAGCCACCATTTTCAATGGAACACTCGTCGATGTCTAAGCATGACTGAGAAGCTAATGAATCTGATGGTGATGGCGATGAGACGGACGCGGATGATGTATTATACAAATGATGATCAAATGAATTCTCAATGACTTCGTTAGATGTTAATGGATGGATGATGGGCATGCCCAGAGCATAACCCCTGGGACAAAGACAAGTGAATGATCCATTAAGATTTTCGCATGTCATATCTGCGGCGCAATTGTGTAAGCCCAAAGCACACTCATCTATGTCAAAGCAATAATCCCGCAAAGGGCCATCGAGGAACTCGAAACCCTTGTGACATGAACATGTGAACCCACCTTCAACATTGATGCACAATTGATGGCAACCACCATTGTTCACTTGGCACTCATCAATGTCCAAGCAAGTTTTACCATTGATATCCAAGGTGTACCCTTCCAAGCAGGAGCAGGTACCATCTGTATTGCATAGGTGATCACAGCCATTACGATTGGCATCGCAAACCTCCGACTGGACGCAAGTCAATTGTGACTCATCCAAAGTCCATCCAACAGGGCAATCACAACGATAACCATCACCTTCGGGGATGCATTCATGCGAGCAACGACTCTCAGCACAGGGATTTACTTTTTCACTAACACAAATACCCTCAGCATTTGGAGCTGAACCATCCTCGCAAAGGCATGTAAACGAACCAGGGACATTTTCGCATTTCAGAGTTTCTCCACATATTCCTGGCTGTACTTCACATTCGTTAACATCTTCGCAGTTGTGGGCTGTTACATAAGGCAGGACAAATCCTTGGGGACATTGACAGAGATAATTACCCTCAGTGTTTACACAATGGTGAGAGCACTCATGGGTTCCCTCCTCACATTCGTTGATATCTACACAGCGGTTGTTTTCTTCCCGATATCCGACTGGACAAATACACTGAAAACCGAACTCATTTTCTGCTTCCTGGCAAGAACCGGGAGAACACACGTCGCCATTACGTTCACACACAGTTTGAGTTTGTACACAGTTATAGGTGTCGACCAAAGCATAACCCTCAGGGCAGTGACATTGGAAACCACCAGTAGCCATGTCGGTGCACTCATACGAACAACGTGTTTTATTTAGGGCGGGATTTTCTAAATCAGCACAGGAATCGACGGCACAAGTACGCCCATCTTCGATCAAATGATACATGGGTGGACAGAAACACTCGAAGGATCCTTCAGTGTTACGGCATCCATGCGAACATACCTTATATGCGGCGGCATATTCATCCTGTTCGGACACTATGGCACATTCATCTATGTCAATACAAGTTTTTTCATCTTCGGCCAAATCATAACCCGAAGGACAGGTACACTCATAGCTACCCTCGGTGTTGACACACATCTGACAACCACTGATACCTTCGGCACATTCATCAATATCTACGCATTGGGCATCTTGTAGTCTAAAGCCAGGTTCACATTGTTGTACCATTGGTGTTTCATTGGGAATTTCCGGTTGTGGTGGATCCTCAACATCGTCAGTATTGTCAATTGGAGCTTCGGCTTCTTCTTTTTCGAGATGATGCTGAATTTCTGGAGTTATACAACGGTAAGAACCTTCAGTATTTTCACAACCATGTGGACATTCCTGCGCCACTTCTGGCAATTCACACTCGTTGATATCTGAAAAGGGAGTGAAATGAAATGTGTTGTAATATATGTGGAAAAGGAGATTATCATTATGTTCGGCCAGGTCGAACTATTTATACCCTCCACCATGCACATACCAGGAAAAAACAAATGTGAAACTACAGATGTCATATACATGGAGACTATACTCGGACATATGTGTTTATGGTACGAAGATTTGACTCTCAATGAAAGCAAATTCGATTGAAAACTAATTCAAAATGTAGAATAATGAGTGCTAACCCGAAATTTTGGCCAATATTGAAAATTTTTCTACCTAATGATGATGACCGAATACCAAATTTCAACAATTTTGGCGGAAAACATGCCTAAACTCCCCAAAATACCGACATTTGGAGGATTTCCCTACCAAACCTAATTATAAAAATAATAGTGAGCCGATAAATCGCATCTTCATATATACCTTTATGGGATCTGTAGTGAATATTTCGAGATCTTGAAAGCGGAATTACAATTATAAAAGGTAATAAAAACAACTATTAATACACCCATAATGTCTATGAAATCCGACGAAATAAATAGGGGGATCTGATAAATTTAATCTGGTTAAGATTTGAGCAAGTGAAATATGGAGCCTCATAGAACACAATTAAAAAGTCGTGGTTCTAACCAACTGTTTTACCCGGCCCAATTTTTCACACTCTCACCATCATAGGTGCGGGAAGAGCCACCATATACGGTAGACCAACCCATATATGGTGGCACTACTTGGTGGATCTTGGTTAATACATAGACCAGTTTACTTTTTCAACGTGCCAAAAATGGAGCGGAACCTTTATATGTTGGAGCTATGGCAAAACATATACCTACAAGTAGGGAATAAGTATTTTTGCCTAAATCTTCCTGCAATGAAAACTCACCCACTATCAACTACTGTCAATTAAATTTCAGTTTACCAACCTTCGCATGTTTTATCATTTCCGGTCATACGATATCCTGGCGGGCAAAGACAAAATATCCGGCCTAGCGAAGACAAACAAATGTGTGAACAACCGCCATTACCGATTGCACATTCACCGGCATCGACACAGCTGTGATTGTCCGACGACAAGTGAGTGCCGGGCAAATTGTCACATGAACAGCGA